CGAACGAAGAAAAAATACAGCCTTCATTTCGCGAAACATGAAGCCCTTTGCGTGCGATAACAGCAAGTCCACCTCCTCTGCGAGTGGAACTTGGCAAGTGATGAAAAGCGTAATCTTCAAGTGAATTCGTGAGGTCGGCAATGGTAATACTATCGTTTGAGGTAAGCCACGATTCAGTTACAGATAGAAGGTCAAGACTACAAGACAACATAAGATCACGTAGCGACGATACTTTGGTTTTCAGTGAGCGAGCATTCCAAACACCGAAACGTAGTGGTGGACTACAGCATGGCCGATTTGATATCAGCGGAATACGAACAAGATCATTGTCATTCCGTCCTGAGTAAAATGAAAATTGGTGACAACGAGGTGTCATGGCGGGTTGAATATTAAAAACCTTTGTTGCTTCACGCGCCCTGACCGTTCTTCCACTCCGGCATCCACGATAAGGCCGCATCTATTTGGATCTTGAAGATGACGAAATTGGTCCAGGATTTTGTTCAACATCCATATTAACGGTTATTTCAATTCAACAGGGAGAGAAAAAACAAAAATATTCATACTTAGTCCATAAGCACACCAGCCGCTTTACAAGCAGCTTTCGCTTCAAGCGAAGGAAACCGCTCTAGTGAGCTCTTAAAGTCGCCTCTTCCAAATGAGAAACTTTGTAAAGACGAGAAAAGTCGACTAAAATAGATGCTGACATAAAAAGTGCTAGAGATATGACAGGAAAATAACGAGCATAAATAGGCATTGCAGCCACTGTTCGGTGCATACAATCTGTCCTGCAATGTCCAACAGTGCACCAGCATAAGAGGGGAATGATATTTCTACTGGGTCGCACTGCAAGGTACTTGAAATACCGCTCATAATCTGTGTATTATAAGATTGAAGCTGCCGCTCCCGTGTCGACTTCCATCCGGAATTCTACCCCTTCAATCTGCACAGGGACCTTCATAGCAGGTGCTGAAAGTCCTCAGTTACGCAGCTCTAATTTCTAACTCTCTTCCAGAGTGAAAATAGACCTAAGAAATTCATCTTCCATGTTCTCCTGCAGTCCAGCTTCTGAATCCTGTTCCGTGTGATGTACATGTTGTTTGCTCGCCATCTCTTTCGGTGGTGGTTTTGCATTGCGACACTCAGACTATGATCCGTTAAATGGCAGTTAAACATTCAGAATTCTTGTATTTGCATTTGTCTGGGGTGTGGTTGGCTAGCCCGCAGCGAAAACAGCGTTTCCTTTGGCGACGTAGACCTACTGAGCGACCGCGTGACCACACTTTGTCACGCTTAACCTGATTTACGCCCGACGAAGAACTTTCACCGTAAGGATTTCCTCCAAAGTGTCGCACATCCTCCTGAGCTATTTCTTGGGCGATTGCAACGTGCACTGCTTCTTGAAAAGTGAAGTTGGTTGAAAATAATTTACACTTAATCTGCTCCGCGCAAAGCCCGCAGATGAAAAGATCGCGTGGAATATCATTTAACTGCACGTTGGTGAATTCGCATTTTCCCGCGAGACGTTTTAACTCTCTCCCGAACTCCACGATGCTTTGCCTCGGTTTCTGGTTTTCAGAATAAAATCGGTATCTTTCTGCGACTTACAAGCGAATGGGCGTGTAATGACCGCGCAACAGCGTTACAAGCTGGTCAAAAGTCTTCGTACTCGGCGCGTCCGGGAATGACAAATCCTTTAAGACTCGATAAGCACCACTTCCAGTAGATGTTAAGAGTATTGCTCTTCGTTTAGCGGGACTGTCCGTGTCGTTCTTAATATCGAAGGCGGTGAAATATTCTTGCAGCCGTTCGATATAGCTCTCGATATCTTCAGACTCAGCATTGAAGACATCAAAAGGAGGTCTTCCCGCCAAGTGGTTTGCGTTAAGGTTGAGCTGATATCATAGATTTAAGACCGGATTTTCACGTAGTTCTCCGTTCGTCGAGGTTGGCTGTTCGTTCTCCATAAAGGGGTAAGTTCGTAAAGAAACTGTGGTGCTGCGTCGGTGGGAGAGTATAGCACCCTTAATCCCCACTAGTGTTTACTATAAACCTACAGATTCACATAGTTACTTGTTGTATTCATCTTCACATCCATCACACGTCAAAAACTCCATACCTTTTTCAAAGTTTCTCAGACTCGTCGTTTATGTAGTGACGACTCAGATTTTTCAGTTTGTGCCAGTTTTTCGATAAACGTGGCTATCCTGTTTCTGTCGTTCAAGCGGGCCACCACCGTGCCCAACAAATTGATCGACAGTCAGCACTACAAACGGCTGAGAAGGAAAACACTGACCGCATTCCATTTACTCTTACATTTCACCCTCACAACCACGCAATTAAATCTATCATTCTTAAAAATTTAAATTACTCCAAAACGATTCAGAGACTGGCACTATCTTTTCGCAACCCTCACTTATTTCATTCAAACGTGACAAAAACATAGGCAACTTTTTAGTCAGGGGTTCATTTCAAACCAATGACCAATCTGGAACTTTTAAATGCGCTCGCTCACGATGCAAAACTTGTCCTTCCATTCATAACGTAGAGAAAATATCGGGACCCAAGAGATCCATTAAGATCATTGATCACTTTACGTGTACCTCCGCCAATATTATTTACTGCAGAACTTGCACTTATTGCAATAAGTTATACATCGGCGAAACAGGAAGACGACTAGGTGACCGATTCCGAGAACACCTTCGCGACGTGGAAAGAAATGACAAGGATGCATCCAAACCAGTCGCTAGACACTCTAATCTTCCTAATTATTCTAAACAGCATATGGCAGTTTGCGGCCTTTCCTTACATCTAGGCAGTTCGGAAAGCCGTAAAACACTAGAACAAAAATTTATCTTCCAAATCGGCACCCTTAATCCCCACGGAATCAACGAGCGTTTTTCATTCAACTAATTTATTCCTGTTTTCTCGTCACCATATTCCCACCATATTCCCACTTTCTGCATATAAACCCAAACACAACCCACAATTCCTCCAATCGCTCTGACGAAGGGCTAACGCTCGAAACGTCAGCTTTTTTTACCCTTTACGGTGGCTAATTTACGTTTTCAACCCAGTTGCGACTCAGACGCGAAGAAAACTGGACGGAGGATTCCCACGATATATCGACTCGAACGTGATATATGAAAACGAGGTGACAAACGACAGTGTGAATACCTTATTAATTCGATTAAGCGACCAGGGCGCTTATTTAATTTTTGGACTTTCAGGGTGGGCGCTTATTCGAAGTGGGCGCTTATTCGAGGTTGGGCGCTCAACGCATTTTCACCATTTTCAGTAAGTAAAAAGTTTATTTTGTAACAATACAATAAATGAGAACAAAACATGATAAAATACTAAAGCATATAAATTGTAACTGTTCATTGTTCGGTTTATGCCCAGGACTAACAACTCATTGTTCGGTCTTCGCAGAAGTCTCTTTTGCTATCATAATTCTCAATCAACTTCAATGTCATCGTCACTCAGCTCAATAATTGAACTTTCTGGTGCTGCCTCCTCGACATCCGACAGCATAACGTCAGAAAATGGGTCAGTCGCGTAAGAAGTTGTTAGGGCTTGCTGGATGGATGCCGGGCGATCTTGTCCTGAATGACAAGGTTGACCCTCCTTTAGGCAATGAATCTGATCATCTTCAGATCCCTCAGGAGCCACAGTAAGCGCGCAGCTTCTGAACGAACGGATAATTAACTCTCTGTCTAGAGTTTCCCAGGCCTCAGGAACCCACTTAACGATTTCAGGAAGAGGTGGGCAACGCATGTTTCTTGCAGCTGTAAATGAATGAGCTCCGTCAGCCATCCACACATCGTACTTCTTAGTTATTTTGGCCTTGAAGGGCTTATTCCATGCCACGTCAGGGGCTTGGATATACTTAGTACAACCACCGGGTACTATGACAGGGTCGATCTTTGCCTGTGCGAGTTCTTGCTTGACGCTGTCTGTGATGTGGCATTTAAGAGTCCCAAGCCAACATCCGACGAGTAAATGAGAACTTGCCTAATACTCCTTGCACCCAGTCACGAGTCAGGTCTTCATTCATCCATCCGTTCACAGAAGAGGCTACATAGCACTTATTTTTAAACTCCTCATTAAGCTGCTTTGTTTCTCTCGTAGCTCCCGGAAAGACAATAAACGGCTTTAGATTTATTCCGTGTGCCTTTGCTGTCAAAGAGACAGAGACTTTGGACTTCTCATGTCCTGTTGTCTTCAGTCGAATTGAACTTTCTCCCGCTTTGTCAACAGTAGCGCTGGACAGCATATCTTGCCAAACAGCTGTTTCGTTTATGGCAATAATGTCACTATGACTGTAGGAATGCCTGCTTCGCTGTCGTCGTACTTGTAAGATATAGGCAATAAGCTTGTTGATAAGTCTGTCTGGGTCTTTCTGCGATTCAGTGGTTCTGCGCCTCACAGACAGCCCATTCCTGCTCATACACTTCTGGACCCAGCCATTACTGGCAATAAAAGATGGAGAAACCTGCCATGCCTTGCATTTTTGCTCATGACTAGCTCGCGCTTTGTGCAAAATCATTGCCCTTGAAACTCGAAGGCCGCTGGACCTGCGTTTATGTATCCACTCTAAAAGCTCGTCTTCCAGACCAACATCAAATGGTTTTCTACCTCCTCCATCGAGACGTTTCCTCTTGTTATCCGCAGCCTGAAGTTTTACCTTGGCGCTTTGCCATTCACGAATTCTCTTACGGTCTACATTGAACTTTTTTGCTGCGCTAGAGATGCTTTTACTTTCTTCGGCAAACTTTATAGCTTCTAATTTATATTCGGTCGAGTACGAACTTACTTTTCTGCCGGCATGAGACTGAAATGTATCAGTCTCCATGCTTTCAGATCAAAGGGAAGATGAAAACGTGATTTATGTGATTTATATCTCTTTAAACATCTCTGGAATCAAATATTTGATCTGTCAGTTTAAACATCACATGAATGCATGAAGGTGCTAGATCCCACAAGTTTACAATAAGGTAATTATGTGCAAGAACGACAATCAAAGAGCTCCCGGTACGTAACAGGAAACACGTGTGGCTTCCGCTGTAGCTTAGCATACTGAACAACTCGCTTTTAGTGCCAGAGCATTCAATGTGAATTGAATTGCTCAAGTTTTCACTATCTGAAATGGAACTTTGTGTTTTAGGTGCAATTCATATCAGTTATACGAGGTCATCATATTTATAAATCTGTGTGGACTCCAACTTTAGGAGAGAAACTTAACTGCCGCGAGGATGATCGCAAGGAAGCCAAACAACATGACGAATATGCAATTGGGACGTATTTGGAAGCTAATACCGGCAGCGAGCTTGTAGGACATGTGCCAATGGAACTATCTTACCTCATCTATACATATCTGAGAGCTTACGACGATAATGAGGTTTCTGCTAAAGTAACAGGGTCAAGAAGGCTGGAGAACGGACTTGTTACGCCAGGAACATTGAAAGCGCGGGCACCAAGCAGGACTATTGCCACGAAGTTTGAGCGGGAGATTTTGCGGCTCAAAGAACTTTGCGCCCAGATGGACATTTCAGTTGAAACTTTGAGAAAAATTCCAACGTAATCATAAAATTTTCAGACAATGAAACTAGAGATTGTAAGCCATTAATGAAACACCGTAATAATCAATACCTGTATTCCTCTTCGGCACTTTATTATTTTTTTTCTTTTGGGGGTGGGCGCTTATTCGAGGTTGGGCGCTTAAAAAGTACTTTTTGGGGGTGGGTGCTTATTCGAGGCTGGGCGCTTATAAACTTTTTCTACCTTCAGGGTGGGCGCTCATTCGAGATTGGGCACTTTATCGAATAAATACGGTACTTACGTCTAAACACCAATTCAACGGCAAGAGTTTAAAGAAGGGAATTTACATCGAACTATCTCAGCTCATATTATTACCCAAACCAATAATAGTATCAGGAATCGTATTTCCAATGTTGTTTTATTTGTGACACTTTTCAGACAGAAAAAAAAAACACCTCTAATCTTCAAAGCACGGTTTTGAATTTTGAAAAAGAATTACGGGCCAAGTTAGAGAATTAGAGAAATCTAGCTACAAGGATAAAGCTTTAAGATGAACCTCATCAAAATACTTATTGTAACTATTCGAGTGCAAAGTAATGGTGGTGTCAACAACTGAGTCCTAAAGCGCTCTCTCCGCGTCTCATGACGTGGAGAGAGCGATAATGAAATACGAGTTAACCATGGAGAGAATGAAAGAGGGTGGGACGGTTTGTATTTGGAAAGTTTAATCAGTGCTCATTTCTTCGCATATGTCGGTGGTCTTTGCTTCGCAAATCCTATTTTCTGTTCCCTTGCTAACGATGTTTTATCAGTTTGCATAGTCGTGGCCAGTATGTAGAGGGAGGCACTTGCAAGCGTTTCCTTTCTAAAGAACGGGCCTCGCACTCTACATTTCTTTTTATACCAGTACTGCGGTCGAACGCGAATTGGATTAATACATTTCCACGTATTGATGATGCAAAGTTTAAAAAACTTACGGGTGGTTAAACGGTAACAACTTGAAGAATTTGCTAGGCGACTTGTTTTCCCAATTAGTCAAGCTGCAGTGGCTGTAAGTCTTCCTTATATATAAACTATTTCAAGTGTCACACGACTTACTTTCAATCAATCGCTAGTTAACATGAGACTGATCGTCGTCTCGAGGAGATAATGAATAGACAAAACTTACGAGTGGCGTGAATCAAGCTTTCACAGTAACACAGTGGCAAATTTACGGAGCAACCTCCCCTCACTAATAAATCATTTTCAGTGAATGCAAATAGGATTTATACATTTTCACCTATTGGTGATGCACAGTTTTCAAATCTTACAGGAGGTTAAACTGCAACAAGTCGAAGAATTTGCCAGGCGACTTATTTTCCCAATTAGTCAAGCTGCAGTGGCTGTAAGTGAAAACTCGTCCTCCAATACAAATTATTTCAAGTTTCACAAGACTCAATTTCAATGTTAACAAGCGATTGATTAAAAGTACGTCTTGTGACACTTGAAATAGTTTATATGTAAGGAAGACTTTTCACTTACAGGCATTGCAGCTTGACTAATTGGAAAAATAAGTCGCCTGGCAAATTCTTCAAACTGTTGCTGTTTAACCACCTGCCTATATGAGTATAATTTGAACTAAAGTCATGGAATATCTTCTCTTAGGTCCTTGGGTAACAACCAGATAAAGGAGCTACCACCTGGAGTCTTCAATAATAACACTGAATTGATCACATTGTAAGTAACAGATATCCACGCCCATTTTTATTATGTTAACCTTCGATGTGCTAAGAGTGTAATGTCAGTGATTACTTAATATGATCAAGACGCTCCTCAAGCTCAGTGGGTGTGGCCAACCATGAAGAGAATGAAAGAGAGAAGAACGGTTTGTTTGCTCAGGCAGTAACACGCAGGAGGTAATATGATTCTAACTAAAATCATGGAATATCTCCTCCTAGGGACCTAAGTAACAATGCGATAAAAGAGCTACCATCTGGAGTCTTCCATCATAACACTGAGTTGATCGACCTGTAAGTAACAATTATCCACGCCCATTCTTAATATTAACCTTCGATGTGCTAAGAGTGTAGTGTCAGTATTTACTTGATACGATCATGACAGTACTGAAGCTTAGTGGATGTAGTCAACTATGAAGAGAATGAAAGAGGGTAGGAAGGTTTGTATTTGGACAGTTTAATCAATGATCATTTCATTTCTTAATATTAACCTTCGATGTGCTAAGAGTGTAGTGTCAGTGTTTACTTGATACAATCATGACAGTACTGAAGCTTAGTGGGTGTAGTCAACCATGAAGAGAATGAAAGAGGGTAAGAAGGAATGTATTTGGACATTTTAATCAATGATCATTTCCCAGCATATGTCACTGGCCCTCGTTTTGTAAATCCTATTTTCTATTCCCTTGCTAACTTTGTTTTATCAGTTTGCATGGGCGTGGCTAGTATGTAGAGGGAGGCACCTGCAAGCGTTTCCTTTCAGAAGAACGGGTCTCGCGCTCTGCATTTCTTTTCACATTAGTATTACGGCTGAACGCGAACAGGAATTATAAATTTCCACGCATTGTTGATACAAAGTTTCCAAAACTTATAGGTTGTTAAACAGCAACAAGTTGATAAATTTGCCAGGCGACTTATTTTCCCAATTAGTCAAGCTGCAGTGGCTGTAAGTGAAAACTCGTCCTCCAATACAAATTATTTCAAGTGTCACAATACTCAATTTCAATGTTAACAAGCGATTGATTAAAAGTACATCTTGTGACACTTGAAATAGTTTATATGTAAGGAAGACTTTTCACTTACAGGCATTGCAGCTTGACTAATTGGAAAAATAAGTCGCCTGGCAAATTCTTCAAGTTGTTGCTGTTTAACCACCTGCCTAATCACCTCAGTGATTACTTAATATGATCAAGACGCTCCTCAAGCTCAGTGGGTGTGGCCAACCATGAAGAGAATGAAAGAGAGAAGAACGGTTTGTTTGCTCAGGCAGTAACACGCAGGAGGTAATATGATTCTAACTAAAATCATGGAATATCTCCTCCTAGGGACCTAAGTAACAATGCGATAAAAGAGCTACCATCTGGAGTCTTCCATCATAACACTGAGTTGATCGACCTGTAAGTAACAATTATCCACGCCCATTCTTAATATTAACCTTCGATGTGCTAAGAGTGTAGTGTCAGTATTTACTTGATACGATCATGACAGTACTGAAGCTTAGTGGATGTAGTCAACTATGAAGAGAATGAAAGAGGGTAGGAAGGTTTGTATTTGGACAGTTTAATCAATGATCATTTCCCAGCATATGTCACTGGCTCTCGTTTTGTAAATCCTATTTTTCTATTCCCTTGCTACCTTTGTTTTATCAGTTTGCATGGGTGTGGCTAGTATGTAGAGGGAGGTACCTGCAAGCGTTTCGTTTCAGAAAAACGGTTCTCGCACTTTGCAGGGGAGGCACCTGCAAGCGTTTCCTTTCAGAAGAACGGGTCTCGCGCTCTGCATTTCTTTTCACATTAGTATTACGGCTGAACGCGAACAGGAATTATACATTGCCACGCATTGTTGATACAAAGTTTCCAAAACTTATAGGTTGTTAAACAGCAACAAGTTGATGAATTTGCCAGGCGACTTATTCTCCCAATTAGTCAAGCTGCAGTGGCTGTAAGTGAAAACACGTCCTCCAATACAAGACTCTGTTTCAATGTTAACAAGCGATTGATTAAAAGTACGTCTTGTGACACTTGAAATAGTTTATATGTAAGGAAGACTTTTCACTTACAGGCATTGCAGCTTGACTAATTGGAAAAATAAGTCGCCTGGCAAATTCTTCAAATTGTTGCTGTTTAACCACCTGCCTATATGAGTATAATTTGAACTAAAGTCATGGAATATCTTCTCTTAGGTACTTGGATAACAACCAGATAAAGGAGCTACCACCTGGAGTCTTCAATAATAACACTGAATTGATCACATTGTTAGTAACAGATATCCACGCTTATTTTTATTATGTTAACCTTCGATGTGCTAAGAGTGTAATGTCAGTGTTTACTTAATATGATCAAGACGCTCCTCAAGCTCAGTGGGTGTGGCCAACCATGAAGAGAATGAAAGAGAGAAGAACGGTTTGTTTGCTCAGGCAGTAACACGCAGGAGGTAATATGATTCTAACTAAAATCATGGAATATCTCCTCCTAGGGACCTAAGTAACAATGCGATAAAAGAGCTACCATCTGGAGTCTTCCATCATAACACTGAGTTGATCGACCTGTAAGTAACAATTATCCACGCCCATTCTTAATATTAACCGTCGATGTGCTCAGAGTGTAGTGTCAGTATTTACTTGATACGATCATGACAGTACCGAAGCTTAGTGGACGTAGTCAACTATGAAGAGAATGAAAGAGTGTAGCAAGGTTTGTATTTGGACAGTTTAATCAATGATCATTTCCCAGCATATGTCACTGGCCCTCGTTTTGTAAATCCTATTTTCTATTCCCTTACTATCTTTGTTTTATCAGTTTGCATGGGCGTGGCCAGTAGGTAGAGGGAGGTACCTGCAAGCGTTTCCTTTCAGAAGAACGGGTCTCGCACTCTGCATTTCTTTTCACATTAGTATTACGGCTGAACGCGAACAGGAATTATACATTTCCACGCATTGTTGATACAAAGCTTCCAAAACTTATAGGTTGTTAAACAGCAACAAGTTGATAAATTTGCTAGGCGACTTATTTTCCCAATTAGTCAAGCTGCAGTGGCTGTAAGTGAAAACTCGTCCTTCAATACAAATTATTTCAAGTGTCACAATACTCACTTTCAATGTTAACAAGCGATTGATTAAAAGTACGTCTTGTGACACTTGAAATAGTTTATATGTAAGGAAGACTTTTCACTTACAGGCATTGCAGCTTGACTAATTGGAAAAATAAGTCGCCTGGCAAATTCTTCAAATTGTTGCTGTTTAACCACCTGCCTATATGAGTATAATTTGAACTAGAGTCATGGAATATCTTCTCTTAGGTCCTTGGGTAACAACCAGATAAAGGAGCT